TTTCCTCCCCACTGTTGCCAAGTGCTTGCTCAACAGTGGTTGATTGAAGGTGCCTTGAAGGAGCTGCTGTCATGATTTGGCGCTATGTAAATAAAACTACTGAATTGAATAGATGTACAATGTTGGTACAGGATCAACATTTCACCTGGCCAGTCACGTCTAAGCGTTCAGGTAGCATTACTCAAGAAGCTATTAAGAACTTTCACTAGGAAACTAACATGACTAGCCTAAATTTGGCTAACAAGAAAACGATGATACAATTTTTTTTTATTATTTTTTTGTATAAATTAATAAAGAAAACATCTGAAATGCTTACCAGAAGAGTTTTATATAAACAAAGGGGTTTTTCCCCTCCACATTCCAAGATATGACCGTTGATCCTGGACCAACATTATGAGGATGATGGAGCCTCAACACCAACACGGGGATATCAAATAGACCAGTATAGACTACATAAAGCACATGACATCACTTTGAAATGTTTATAAATTTCACATCGGTCTCACTGTTTGAAATGTATTCTAAAACTTTTTGAATTGGAAAAGACTGCAAACGTAGCACCTCCACTTTATACACTGAAACAGCCATCTATCTGGAAAACTTTACTATTGTTATAGTTGCCATATAAGTGGGTTTGCAGTTATAGTAAAGGAATAAACAACCATCACTTTTAAAAAGGTTTGACTTGAGTGTGAAATTACATCAGTGGAAAAAGTTTAAATGTTTGAACCAATGGGAAGGGGGGAGAGGGTTTGCTTCAGGCAGCTGGTTTCCAAGAAAAATGGAGAGCCAACAGAATCTAAAGGCACCTCTGCTACAAACAACTATTTAAAGCCGGAGGAATTTTACCCTCCAGTATCCCCTGAAGTGAATATTACTGTGATGGAGGACCACGCTGGTCCCAAGTCACATCAGTTTGAGGCATTTGCTTCAGCCCCAGTAACGCCCAGAGCCACTGCTCTAAGAGCTGATGAAATCTGCAACCGTTTCCAAGCCGTCTGAGGGGAAATAATCTACTCCTCCAGTGCTCACACAGCATCAAAGTACAAAACAATGCACCAAATATGAGAGTTACCTAAAATATCCTGTGAAAGACGGACAGGATGGCGATGGAGTGGTTAGAACTGGTTTGAACCCCTGCTGGGGCCTTTCTCTGTGGAGTTGCATGTGTGGTTTTCCTCCAGGTACTCCGATTTCATCCTGCAGCCCAAGGACATCTATGCTAGGCTAGGTTCACTGATGATCCTAAACGGATTCATCACAGATGTGAAGAAGATAAAGTGATATGTGAACTTGTGACTCTGAAATATCTGACTATATGAACATGACGCAGGTTCAGATACACTTGTATTTAATTTTAACATGTTTTTATATATGTTTTTTCAGGACTGACTATGGCAGCAGTGATCTTTTGAAATGCAGATTTAGCTAAAAATGTCAATATTAAGTAGAGGATGGATCATCGGGTGTGCAGCTCAGAGTCTGCACTACCTCTAAACACCCCCTGAATATATCGGGCTCTGGCTGCTCGAGTCTTTCGTATTTTTATCTGTTTGAGCTCGTTTTTGCTCTCCGAGTGTTGAATCCACTTTGATGTGCTGTCTTTCTGAATATTTTATTGTGCGCACACTCAGCGGGGTGAGAGATTGAGTGGTGTGAATGTAGATGATAGTTAACTGCTACTTGAGCATTGTACATCTATTAATTAAGGGCTATGCAGGATTTCTGGATCTTTCTTTGTGTACAGGAGATATTAGACCATTAGTTTTGTGCCCAGAACTATGTAATTTGGTAAAACTGAAACTGAATTACTGAAGTTAGTTAGTCAAGCTGAGCATAATGAGACACATTAGGAGGTAAAGAGGTGTTAAAGGTTACGTCAGGCCTGATGAAGAACGGTTTTGTCTGTGAACCTTATTTTTTTATTGACTGCATTGCAAAATGCCAACCTGTTTTTCTTTTTGTTTTTTTTATCTGTAGTTCACAGGAAACACTATTAGATTTGACAGATACTTTCTTTTTCTTTTAGAAAACTAGTTGAGAGGAAAGACAAGCTGCTGTAGTTCTTTGTAAGTGCTTTACAGTTAAGTGAAGTTGTTGGCTTCTCTCCTGCCTGACTGAACTGGACCGGATCTGGGGAAGGAGTCATGTCTGAGTGTGCTGCCAACAAAAACAGCACTTATCTCAATTTCTTGGTTGCACTTTCGATTTGAGGCTGACTTGTGTGTACAGATGAGGAGGAAAACCTCCAAACATAACAAATGGAATTCGATGTTTTCATTTGACTATAAAATATGCTAATCTTTATGTAAAAAAAAATAAAAAAATAAAAAAAGCTATGCTGATGATTTCTGACAATATTTTCATGGACCGGCCTTTAAGTTGTTGCAGATAAATAATTTATGCATAACACACGGGAAAAGACCCAGGGAAACAGCGTTAACGATAAAAACGATTAAAAAAAATAACGATAAAAACTGGTAAACACCCTGAAAACTATACATTTCACACTCGAGCCTCAACTCTCGCGGCCCGGTATCAAACGACTCAGGGACCGGCCCGGGGGTTGGGGACCACTGAATTTAATGACTCTGAAAGTGGTATGGTTGTTGGTGCCAGACAGCCTGGTGTGAATACTTCAGAAGGTTCTGATCTTCCCAGAGTTTCCCACATAAAGAAGAGAAAGTATCCAGTGCATCATGGGAAGCCTCTCAGCAGTCTAGGCCTATTATAGCATAACTAAGGGATGGTTCAGGATAAGCTGATCCAGCCTGTAACTATTGGAATCAGTTTTTTAAATAAAGGGAAGTTTTAAGACTAATCTTAAAAGCAGAGCGAGTGTCTGTCTTCTGAATTCAAACTGGGAGCTGGTTCCACAAAAGAGGTGGCTTAAAGCTTTATGCGCTGTCTCCCATTTTGCGTCTGAAAGCTCTAGGAACCACATGTAAGCCACCAGTCTGAGAGCGAAGTGTTTGGTCAGGATAATATGGTACTATGAGGTCTTTAAGATGGGATGGGGCCTTATTATTCAAGATTTTGTAGGCAAGAAAGATTTTAAGTTTAATAATTCGTGTCATATTGAAAAAAGATTGCACAAAGCCATCCAGATTTTAAAAAAATTATTTCTTCTTGCTGTTTATGTTACATAGACACAAGCAAATCCATGTGTAGTTGTGTATAAATCAATGAGACGATCAAATCCTACAGTAAGTATGACGCTGTATGCAGCACCTGGTCAGCTTAGCAAATTGGGGGAAACTGTAAACCTGTGTCACTTGTGTCATTTGTCTTTTTTAGAAGCAGCAACACCAACACATATACAAAATAAGGTATCTTAGCACTTAAAGGGGTAAGCTAATAACTACCAAGCTAGTAGGGGTGTAGTTAGTTTGTCTTACTTTCATCTGATGCTCTGCCAAGTGATCAAGTGCTGTCATATTTTATTTTAAAGACTAAAAGAAGGTAGAGCATGCTCAATCTTTTTTCCCCCTCAAATTTATTTGCAGTTAAAACAGAAGCAAGTGACAAAACTAAAATAACAAACTGCAAAAACAACAGTGAGATAAAACAAAGGATCAAGCATAGATGTGCTTCAAAGTTTCCCTGAATGAATAACTTGATATACATGTGGAGGTGCTGTCACTGAAACAAAAAACATGATTTTAGCTTCAGCAGATGAAAGATGGACACAGGCACTTTAGTCAGGATGGAGATGCTAAGCTACAGCAAGTTAATAAATTTTACTCTATCTACAATGAAATAGAAAGTTCACAGAATGAGGCAATACTTTGTACATAAGGACCCGTGTGAGGACACTACTACTTGGTTCACATACTGCATATGTCAAGAGAAGGGGAACAAGTCGACGTTCCGAAGCTAAAGTACCAAGCCAACCTCTCTCACTTGGGACAGAGAGAAATGAAATGAAGCAAAGTAGTAAGAATGTGGTGTCCAATAGGTGACAGAGATAATATATGCAGATAACCAGAGAAGGACTCCGCTCTTAGTTATAATTTGAACCATAAACAGACTGCACAAGTCTTACAACCTGGAAATGAGTTGGTATGTTTTATTTCCACTTCACTTGCCTTAAAGTCAGTGCATTTTTTGTTTGTTTTTTTAAATGTATTATCTTATTTATTCTTTTTTAGATGTTCAAAAAAGGTCTGCGGTTAACAGATTTTCATACTTTGTTCAGTTAAGCTTTTCTTGAGTCGTCACCATCGAAGCCTTCATGGTTTCAAAAATCCAGTAAGACTCGTCCATCAAACAGCCCGTTCAACAAGTCTTTCATTGGCTTGTAAAAAATGTGCAAGGAGGTGACGGCCACCTGAGAATTTCTACGCTCTCACATGCCCCATAACAGCCTAGTGGTGTGACGTTAAAGTTAGAAGCAACCTTGGTGAGGTTTGTTTATAGCAAGCGAGTCAAACATGGGTCCAACACACCCATTACATGTCAGGTGACAGTTCGATCAATAACAACTACATTTTTATCAATAAAACGTACTGCTGAGATACCAGCATGGATCAAAAGCAGTGAACTAAAATACTATCGTTAAAACTGATGGCTCATTAAAACAGTGGAACATTTACAGACTTCACATCTTTAGCAGGTCAGCTAATGTAATTTATCAGTGGCTCTCGACCACTGCAGGTCAAATTGCGCCATATGTGGCCCTTTAACTACAATGAGTTGAACACCCTTGGTTTGTGTCCTAACATTAACATTTTACAGCTCGCAACTGCTTATTCTTAAAGCACAAACATATCATGAATTTTTAAAGATCATCATTCTGTACAAAACGTACAGGTATTACAAAATTTTACTCCCCACTGAGCCTACTTCCTGGGAAAGTCTGAATCACGTTTTGGCTGAAGGAACCGGGGCAGTACGAACTTCTGGGCTGGCCTACAAAAACAAAAAGGCAATTCTTTTGTTGACATCAAAATCTGCAGCATCACTACACCTTCCTACATCGGAGTAATTAAGAAGAAATGCCAAAGAAACGTTTTCCTTTATTCCAGGAAATTAAATCCAAAGCATACATACTGTAGTGATATGCTGCAAAAGGCTTGCTACTTGAACTCTCACACAAACAGCTCTGCAGGCATATGACTGCCTCACAAGTTAACTAGATCAGACTCTACTGAGGAAATCTATGCAAGCTATCCTATATGGCATGGACATTATAAATATCAAAGGACCTAGAAACAGAAACATGTACTCCAAACATGGGATAAATAAGTACACTACCTGAGAGTAAAAACATCTGAATTGGCTGTTACCTTGAAACTTAACGTCTATGATCACCAGTGTTTACAGAAGCTTTGTGATTTAACTCTAAAGTGGGCTTCTCAACAGCAACTGATTTCTAAGGAAAAACTCTTTCAGTTTCTGTCAAAACTTTTGGGATTCATCAAACTTTAAGATAATATTTTATCCATGGTTACCTAAAAGACCTCAGCCTGCTAATATGAAGGCATTTTTTTGCCTTCCTCATGCCATTTATGGCCATGTAGTGGTACCATGACACTCAAGCTCCGATAGTAAGCGCCAACCCTACCCACAGAGCCACCCTCTTTGCTATTCCTGTAGTCTCTCAGATTTCTATGTCATGTCTGATTCAACTTGGCTTATTTTTTGGAGAATTCAGCTGCATCTCAGATTTTGCATCAGCAAAGTAAACTTGTTGACTGACCTGTTTCACAGGGTTTGAATATGATCATAGTTTTTTGTCTTGGAAAAGTCCTTAGGTGCATACCCTTGAGGTAAATTTATTTGTCAAAACATACATTAACATCAAATTTAAGTTCTGGCACCCAGCAGGAGCGTCACGATAGCTGACTGCCTGCTCAAGTTTTACAAATGACGATGGTAAACGTTTATTCTCAGAACCAGGTTGAGGTGTGTGAGTAAAATAAATAACCATAAATACTGGATGATTGGAAACTGACAAGCTAAAAGTGGTAAAAGAAATATTTCCAAGGCTGCTTCATTCCTATTCCAACATCATTTCTAAGTATCCAGAGCTGATGTGGTTTTCTACAAGCACCTTGAGACCAACTTCATGTCTGTTCAAGTGAGAGTAAACACATCAAACAGGAATTCAGTGAAGGAGTTTTGGGAAACACGGGCCTGGTCTTGGACTCACAGACAGTAGAATCATGTCACTGTTCTGCTATTTTCCACCAACTGATTCTTATAAAAAAAGATGACTTTGGCTTCTTGCACTCAGAGCAGTGACACATCCTTACTGCTGCCTCTAGTCCCTGACCTGTCCTCATTTCTTCTTCTGCACTTCCTGCAGGAGCTTCAAGGCGGCCGAGTTCTTTGGTTCCACTTTCAGCAGAGTGTTCAGATCGTCCACGCAGGCTCTGACGTCCTGCAGGGGAGAAGGCAAAAAGTTTCAGAGATTAAAAATGAAACAATGCTGACAAGGTCAGAGAAACTGAAAGTAAAAACACCTCAGTAGAACAGAGTCAGTGACCAATATCTGCATAAAAACAATCAACACAGTTCAGAACAATGCAATTTAATCCACAGTTGACGTATGTGCTTTCTCACAAGGTGAACTTGAACATTTTTAAAAACAAACCAGCTTGGAACTAACAAGTAAATAATAATGTCTCTTGCCCGCTGCCTTATAGTTTGCATATATTTTGCTATTTAGTTTTAAATTTTCATTCATCTGAGAAAACAACTCAATCAGTTTACTTTGAGAAGATCCCCTTGCCATTATTTTGATAGGACCTGAGCATCAACTGAACTTTCTGTTTCATGTTTCCCTGTGAACAGTCTGATCAGATTGCTGTTGTTGTGGCAGTCTCGACTGTCATCCTGTGACGGGTCAGGGTCTGATTCCACCACGTTGGACTGCATCAGGCAACAGTAGTCCTTGTTCTGTTCTGGACATCTATTTGGAAGTCTTGAGGCTCACAGACCAGATTCAGAGCAGAACAAGGACGACTGCCTTTGGGTTCAGTCAAAGACAGTAGAGGATGAGGAAGAAGTTGATAACTATCCCATTACTTTTTGTCACAAAGCATATGTGCTTTATTATTTATTTATATATTCACAAATTCAATCTATTTCTATGGGAAACACTAAACATGGGTAAACAAGTGACACTAATCACATAATGAAGGCTCTCTTGTGTTTAAATACACCTCTGTTTAGCTACCATTTAATATTAAAACGGGATTACAGTCACACTTATGACTGTAAGTGTGACTGTAATCCCACATGACAAAATAAATGTTCAAACTGATTTTTTTCTAAATTCCATCTCAAAGTAGATCAAGATACAAAACGTCACCCAGCAAAAAAACGAGTCATTTCCTTTAGTACTTTGTGACAATGAAAAAAAATGCCGTCCAAAACGATGAAAAAACGAGTTCCTCTCTGCACAACCAGCTGAATGATTTAAAGCCCACAACTAAGACAGGAACAGCTGGTACTAGGTGGTTAGCATTGACTGAGCTTTAAAAAAAAAAAAAGAGTGAACAAGTGACTAGTGCCCTAGTCTGGGTAACCGGTAGACAATGCCTTCTTGTTTCTTCTCTATCTGAAATAACTACTATTTTTATTCACGTCTTTAGGTGACCTGATCTTGAACCCAGCTGAGATAGTGCTAGCTATGATCAATGATGTAGTATTGAGATTCACAATCACAGGAAAAGAAGAACATGAATAAAGAAAATACATGATAAATCTTTGTTTATTTTGCACCCCCGCCCCCTCTTTTTGTTTTCTTGCGCTGGCAGGTTATCTGTTACTCAAGGCAATGGAAGAGGAGACACTGATAATTGGATGTCTAGATAAAAATCACGTTGAACAATATGAGGTGGAAATGAAGAATCGACTCTCTTCGTGTCTTTTTGACAACTCAAACCTCCAAACACTGACTTGAGCTTTTCACTGCATGTAGCTGTGAGTGCCGAGCTTACTGTCTCCTCTGTGTGTTTTGACTACTAATGAGGAGAGACTGTCAGGGGAAACGCTGGTAATTATCAAGGCAGGAAATGCTTTTTATTTTGTCGCTTAGCTTGAAAACCTGCAGACACTTTTGAAACTAACGTCTGATTGCGCTGTGTGGGAATCAGAAGCTGGAGCGCGGTGATGAAGACTCGTGCTCTTACCTTGAGTTCCTTGTGAGCCTGAGCCCTCCTGTAGAGAGCCTTGACATTGTTGCTGTCAATCACCAGCGCCTCGTCACAGTCTCTGATGGCGTCTCTGTACTGCTTCACTGACAGGTAGCACAGCGCCCTAATCACACAACACACAGTAAACCACATTTAAAACATCTGGGCGCATCTTTATTTATTTGAAGGTCCAGTCAAACAATAATGTTGCCATGATGTATTAATTATCAATCTAAAATGCTTCACTACATGTATAACACTCTGTGATCAGAGCACTCCAAAATGGATGAATCTGAATTTGTATTTATTTTCAGGTTCTTCAAGATTATTCATTTTTTTGTCTAAGCTTTTATTTGACTGACACACCTAAAACTTTACCTTTAAATGCTTTCTAGCCTCTTCATTTGTTCATTTGTTACTGAAATATTTTTAAATGTGAACTCCATTTCAACGAACTCTTTAAATAATATCCAGCTAAAGTGTTTTTTGTTTACTTTTTAATTTATATTTATCTTAGTCCAGGGCCATCATGTGATTCAGACTGATTCTTTACCATTCATTGTCAGAAATCCACATTAAGGATCCTCCAAAGAAAATATAACAAGCTAAGGGGCCGAATTCATGTCACAGTGCGGCAGAGAAATAGAGTCCCGGCATTTCTTTAATATTTTTTTTTGTGTTTGTTATTGTTTTCTAGTGCTACTGTGTTATGTTTACTCATGTCAAAAAGTCAGGAAAGACTTAAGTGTAAAGTAATATCTGTGTACTGAGCTAATGATTTTAGCATTTTTGTCCAGTCACGCAGAAAAACATGACTCATCTACTGTGCAACAGCAGTTAGTCCATATAAGCTACAGCTTGCAAATTTCCATCAGCCACTAAAAAACAGGCTTAATAGGCAATGGGCATTACACAGAAACTGCCCAACATAGTACAAATGCCTCCTGATTAAATAAAGCAACTGAATATTAAAGCAGAGAAAAGTTATCAAAACAAAAATCTTAAAATGTATATTATGAATACCATGTCATCTTTAAAGTTTTCATAGGTATGCAAATCCCTTTAACACAGTTTCAACGATATTGAAATCATCCACCTTTGTGAACATATTACTATTCTTATATAGTCAGGTTTTTTATAACTGCCAAAGCTATATTTAGCTAAATCTGTAGGAGTCTTTATTTTATAAACAAACAAAAACAGGACCAAATAATATATGATGGTTGATATATTCGTTGGAGCAATATTAAATACAACACTGCAGAGACACAGATGTTGATGATCAAGGCTCACCGGTTGGTGTAGGTGGTGACTTCTGTAGGGTTGTGTTTGAGGCTCTGGCTGTACTTCTCTATGGCCTTCTTGTGCTCTCCTTTCTTCACCAGGGCATTGCCTTCTTCTTTTAAGGCCTGAGCTTTCTTTATCTCTTTATCACTGGGAGCTGAGGAGAAGGTAAGGAAAAGGTGGGGGGCATAAAAAAGAGAGTTTGAATATGATAATGCTGCTCCGTCTCTAAGTAACTTTTAAAAAAATCCAATGAATGGTTATGTTTTCATGAAGCTGGTCAACTCTTTGACACTAACAAGGAACTCAGTCAATTCAAATCAATAACATAATTTTAAATAACATAATTTTTCATAAATCTATGTACCAGGTTTTTTTGTTTGCGTTGTGCCATTCTGCTGAGGTGTTGGACTTTGTTGGGTGACATTGCCTGCAGACTTTTGGGCAAGTTTTTCCTTCACAGACAGAGGAACTGTGGGAATGGGAGGAAGCTTTTCTCTCCATGACGGACCGTCTGTCTCTGTGAGTGCCTTTGTCATCCTGAGAAACAGTACAACAGTGACAAGAATGTGAACAGAGAAGAAGCTGAAAAACAAACTTTTTGTGCTTCTGCCCACAAGTTCAGGTTCTGTTCTTGAACTATGGAACCAAGGAGTCAACACTTTTACTTTTAGAGATACTGTGAAGACACTTCTGTTAATGTATTTACAAATACTCATGTGTAGGTCTAATGTCAGGTCTGTGTATTTTCATTATGGTTTCATAATCTCTTTCTTGGGGACGGGGGATTACAGAACAGTGTTTAAAACCTACAACAGACCAAGAAGATGCATAAACCATCTGTTTTTTTAAACCTCCTAAAACAGATATTTCTGTACTGATATTTCTGCAAAACTGTAAATTGTAAAGTGTAAACTGGTTAGATTTGTTTATTTCGATCTGGAAAATCAAACTCGGAAACAACTGTGATTGGTCTACTTGGCAGTAACATGCCATACAAACACAATATGTTGATATTGTTCACAGTGCGATTGGAAAGGCTCGTATTAAGGTACTGCAGCTATAGAAACTCAGAGATGGTGAATATTATATTGTAAGCTAAAATATAACCATCACTCAGCTAGCTAACAGACAACATACCTGTTGGTGCCATCGTGAGCTGCTGCTATGTTGCAGTCAATCTGTAGAGCAGTTTTGTAGTCTACGTAAGCTTGCCTATAACGCTCCAGAGCTTCGGAGGCAGCAGCACGACGAAGCAGAGACTTCACATTGAACTGGGATAACTCCAGAGACCTGAAAGAAAACATGTTAAAATCATAATTTAGATAATATTTTGATAATGAACAGGCTGAAAATGGACGTATCGTCATTAAAAATTTAACAATAAGTTTAATGGACAAAACTACAGAAGTCAATATACAGAACAGAACAAAACATTGCTTTTATTTCATGTACTTGAGCGTCTCCCTTATGTTACATTACCAAAGGTTGGATGTTCTCACACAATCAAACACCCCAAATAAGAAAATCAGGGTGTAAGATCTGAGGAAAGAAAGATGCATGAAATCCAAATTGCAACATCACACTCACATATTGCAGTCTTTCACACATTCCCCACAGTTGCCATCCTTCAGGTAGCTGGCTGCACGGTTTGAATACAAAATGGACAAATCCTCTGGATTCCTTTTACCTTAACAGGAAGAAAACGATGTGTTTAAGAGCAGATCGTCAAACAACAAATAACCCTATTAATCTGAAGACATGTGCAACTGTTAGAAAGAAAACATTCATTAAATGACCAGAAAACACAAATCACACAACACAGCATTGTAGTGTTGTCAAGCACATTGTAAAATATTTTTAAGTCTTAAGTCTCTACTTATTGCAACATGGCATCAATTCTCAAAAACTGCTTTGCTGTTCCCTGATGCTACAATAGCCATGTTAGAAACTGCGACTAGCGAGGAAGATGAGGGATTTGATACAATTTAATGTTGCACTCAATTCTTATAGCATTTTGCCTGTACTGTAATACTAAATACTAATTGCAGTACTAATTGCACTTATGTGTGCAGCTCTGCACACATAAGTGGAGGAAGCAGATAGAGAGACTACCTAGACTGAGTATATTCACTTGGGATGTCAGTGTACACACACTGATTTTCCCCAAAGAGGTTTTAGTCAGAGCCAATGGAAAGGAAGAAGAAAATAAAAGAGCACTGGTTTTACATTCATATGGGTTTCATTTTATTGTTTAAGACCTTTTTTACTAAATATCTTCTGCTGCTCCCTTATTCACAAGGGGTCACCAGAGCAGGTAGCTTTGCATATTTGTTTTGGCAGAGTTTTATGCCAAAAGCCCTTCCTAATATAAACCCACAAGCAAACTGTCTCTTGCCAGCGCAATAGCGCAAACTCTGCAGTATTGCACTATGGAGCCACTAGGACAATTTTTTGTATGTCAGTTTAAAAAAGAAGAAGAAGAAAAATGTAGGGATGGGAATTAAGAACCAGTAATAGGTTCCCAATAATTCAATTCCTTGGAATTGTTGGTCTGCTTGCCTATCGATCCTGCTTATCTGTGTGCTGGAGGAGGAAAATAGCGGTTCAGTCTACAGCATGTACTTATTTTTATTGCACAAAAGGATGAGAGTGCAAACTACATCCAACACAGAAACAACTGCATTATGTTGCTAATACAACTTTGGCCCTTTGCAAGCATACTAACACTAAGCTAGCCAAGGACCCAGAGTGATGTTAAAGCTGAGTAAATACCAACCCCTGAACTCAAACCCTGAACTTCAACAGGTAAAAAACGGATGAGCAGTCAGGCTGCAGCCTCCGTTTCTACTTCTATTTTTATGGAGAAACACAAAAGTAATGTAATGTTTCTACAGTAGAATCATAATCACTGTGAAGTAGGGCTGCCACGATTTGTCGACTAGTCACGATTACGTCGACTATCAAAATCGTCGACGACTGATTTAATAGTCGATGCGTCGTTTGAAGCTTTGTAAGATCACAAAAGACGCAGGAATAAGTGGCAGGATTTAAGAGTGTAATAACGGACTGAAACAGAAGATGGCAGCATTGCATGTACAAGGATGTCAGCTACCGTTAAACCCCGAAGAAGAAGAAGCAGCTGTGTCCCAGCGCAGTTTCCAACAATGGCGGCAGCTAGTTAGTTTTAATGTTACTCTTATTATTCTTTCTGGGTCACAAAATAAACGTTTAACATATTTTCAGGCGAGAATGTAGCTGTGTAAACCTCAAATATCTGCTCAGTTTATCAGGACACCACATATTTTCAAAAGCGCTCCGACGTTTTCGGAGACATCTGTTACCCACTAGCTCGTTAGCGAGCCGGGGGCTAGGCTCACTAGCGCCGTGAGAACACCGGACTCCCCGCAAATCGTTTTCAAACCCACCGCCGTCTTTCGCTACTCAGGTTAAATATATATGAGTCACTTAGATAACTTAAAATGTTATTGTTTGGCTTTTTTTTTTTTAGTATTTTATTTGTTCCTGAGTAAATCAGTTTGGCTGAGATTAAAGGTATAGTTTTTACACAGCTGAATAAACGTCAAGCAGACAACTGATTATCAGAAGTGTGAGATGCTCCAGAATATACTCCAGTGTCCTGTTATATTTTAGATAGCAAGGAGTTTATTAAACTTCACCGAAACAATCTGCAAATTTCATTAAAATTTAATAAACTATCATCTTGTCTTTATTTTTAGTTAGCACATACCTTAAAAGCTTAAAGCTGTAAGCTAATGATAGTTATATAAGAGCAGATGCTGCTGGTGCCAATGGATGATGATCTGATTAGTCGACTAATCGCAAAAATAATCGGTGACTAGTCGACTATCAAAATAATCGTTTGTGGCAGCCCTACTGTGAAGTCTTCTTGTGCTAGTTTTCATCTTTGCTTTGTGTTCATAACTGAATACTAAGAGAAAGACTGTATGTGTGTCAGCATTAGGATTGGGGTTTTTGTTGAGGAACAGGAATGTGCCAGTAGGTTTATACTGTTAACTGGTAACTATCAGGTAATTTTACAGTAGTGAAATGTTAAAGTAATGAAGGTTATGAGCAAAGAATACTTCACTACTTCCTCTTGGGAGTAGTGAAGTACTACATTACAAAGTACTGCATTTCTTTTAAGAAAAGTGTTCTGTGTAATATATCTTTTGAGTAACAACCTCAATACTGATCAACAAAGAGGGGAAATACCTCCAGCATGCACACACATTTGACCACCACATGCAATTAATCTGCATGAATTTAATGTTTTTGGATATGCTGCTTAATGATGGTGGTGAGTCTCAAAGGAGCCAGTGAGAACCGAATGAGAAGACAACATGAACCTCTAATGGAATTGGAACCACTAAATTGATCAATTTTCATCCCTAGGAAAATGCAGATTTATATCAAATAAGGTCACAGGAACATAAAACGTACTTCACACTCATTTCTCGGTGAAGTGTATGCACGCTCAGGTTATAATACTTACTGTTCTTCTCCAGCGCTTTGATTGCCTGGCTGTAGAGATTTGTGGCTTCGCCATATTGGCCTGTCTTGAAACATTCATTGCCAGCTTGTTTCAGCTCAGCCCAGGACTTGGACTTCTGTTTTGGTGGCATGTCTTCTTGCTGGCTCCTACCTAGAATGATACAGTAATGGTTGGTTTATATGTGGATTAAAACATCAGACAATTCAAATGTAACTGAAATGACTCATCAATAAAATACTGGATTTCTATTCATACAAAGGAATAATGTGGACCTCGCCACCTCTGTGTGGTGGCTGAATGAGGCACGTGTTTCTACAACAATTTTGTAAAGAAAGAAATTGATATATTAGTTGTTACACACAGCTTTGTTTATGTGTCAGTCAAGAGAAGCTTGTATCTATATTTTTTGTCAAAGATGCTTCTTCATTGTTTTTTTATTTTTATTTTGTTACTGTATTCACCAGTGTTGGTCTGAAATGGACAATTAACCTGAAAAATGTGTGAAATTATTTTGACAATTAGTTCATCATTTTTTAAGTAAAACTAGAGGGAAAAAAATACTTTTTTAGAGATTTTAGTTTCTCAAAGAGGATTTTCTCCATTCAAAACTAGACAATTGTCTTCGGCTTTTGTTTTGTGCTGTAGAGAAACTGAAACAAAATGTCACAACAAGCCATATACTGAAAGTAATCACTACTTATAAAGTATATATTTTATCATCACTTCAATATAAAAAATTGTACCATAAGCACACCATGAGACTGCCTGATTAACACTAAATCACAAGAGTAATTTTAATTACCAACACTATATAGTCACATTCAGATGCAGGCAATTTTAGATTGACTAACAAGAATATATATCAAATAGCTTTGCTTAGTGCACAGAGGCTTATTTTTGTTTGAGGCCACTGGCAGGGCTGTAAATTAAAGAATTTTCCAAATCTGGAATTAATATAAAATATCTTGTCTAATCTTAAAAAAAAATTTCAATTAGTTACACTGTACAACAATTAAACAATTAAGTTGAAGTCATTTTTTTCTTGCAGTGGTGCTTTATGTTCTCTTCCACATGCCTTTACTTTTTAACCAATTAATTAATTAACATGGTGTCCACAAAAATGTATAGAGTGAAATCCTGCACCCAGCTCTGACATATAACATATGTCATATGACATATAACCACAAACCAATAAAAATACTTTCCACTTTCAGCTTCTGTAGCCTTACTACAACAACAACAATAATAATAATAATAATACTGAGATTTGATGGCAGCTAATAGTTTGCACTCACATATACCACAGGCTTAACTTAAATCAGTTAAACCTCAGGTTAAAAACCCCACACCAAATTAACAAACCTGCTCATCTAACTGTAAGCTAATCTGGTACCTAGCCGCTAACAGTTACACAGTCATATTCTGTTCATGACATTTTCTCCAAACCATTACTTAAATCCTACTTTCAAAAAGAGCCACAACTGAATCTTGTTTCCTCGAGATTTTGCTTAAAAACGCGTCTTACTCCCACTCTTTCTATGCGTTAACTCGCTAGCTAAGTAATGCTAACTCGTGTGGGTTTTGAATGGTGTTTTATGGCAGCTAACATAGCGTAGCATAGCTTTGCTACTATTAGCATGTCTTACCGGCTGCTCAGTCTAAGAGATCACAACGAGGAAGTTCCCCTCTTCACAAACTATCTGTTGCCCTTATGAACGTTGCTAATAATGGCATTACTCAGTGCATGTATGTTGTCCCGGTGGCTGAGACCCACACTCTGCCTGGGTAGAGTTTAGTACAGGGGGAGGTATATGGAACTTGCCGGCAGTCTCTAGTAACTTCTCAGTTTGCGATATCGGTTTCGCTTCGTTTTAACGTTGTGTTCAAGTACTGTGGTCAGTGTAGGACTTTCACCTGCATGGCGCGCCCTCTGGTGACCATCTGATCAAAGTGTGTTCAGAGACCAGAAACCACAAATGACTCACTGGTTGAGTTTTCAGCAGTAATCGCCACAATAATTTTAACTTTATAAGATAATACATGCAGATTTTTTTATATATGCTTCAGCTTTTGATCGCGAAGCTATAATAAAGCGCAGCTCGTTTTACTTTCGTGGTGAAAAGTCCTTTGCACTATCCTTTCTGTATCTTGAACGCCTCATGAGATAGGGAGAAGCAGTTGTTCGGTTTCTATTTAGAGAGCAAATTGTGTTTCGACATAAATCTCGCGATGGTACATCGTGTCCTATTTAAATCTAAATGTATTTATTTATTTTTATTTTTGGAATCTAGTTTGACGAGTACAATTTAAATGTACAAACATGAGTTCCTATTAGAGTTAGAAACCTTGTAAACGGAGTTGAGAAAATATATGCAAAAGAAGTACTTATAGTCTGAGACTCAGGCAAAATGTAAAAAAGAATTTTAAAAAAATTGCTCAGTTTTGAATGTTTACAGTGTGCCTTTGATGTTTGGGCCGGTTGGGGTCTCTGTGTGCATGTTTTCTTTGTGCTCAGGATCTTGATCCTAATTCTAGCCAATATAGAAACCATCTAATAGATTACATCAGTCTCAAGACAGCCTCTGCCACCACATTAGATCAATCCCTCTGGGCTCCTTTGATCGGCTCCATCACCTAGCGGGGGTGGGGGGTCGTGGTTTGGTCCCGCTTTCGCCATTGTGGTTGATGTGGAGGTTGGGACGGGCTTAGGGCGTCTGGAGAATCCCTAGGGACGTTATCCCTGGAGGGCTTAACCCAGGGGTTGTAGTCATAACCTGGTTAGTGGCTCTGGTTGCTCTTAGAGGGTGTTCTAAGAGCGATCGTGGCTCAAGAGTTGTTGAGTTGTTGTACAAGTTCGCCTTGTAATCGGAAGGTTGCCGGTTCGAGCCCCAGCTCGGACAGTCTCAGTCGTTGTGTCCTTGGGCAAGACACTTCACCCGTTGCCTACTGGTGGTGGTCAGAGGGCCCGGTGGCGCCAGTGTCCTCTGTCAGTGCCCCCCAGGGTGGGTGTGGCTACAACATAGCTTGCCATCACCAGTGTGGCAGGCTTGGGGTTCGGGGGTGCTTCGCCTCCGTGCTAGGGCTCTGGCTGGGCCTTGGGTATAGAGTTTGTTTGGGGAGTGTGATTGTGTGTACAGTGTCCATGTATGTCTATCCCTACGTTGGGTTAGTGCTGAGTATTTGTATATGTGTGCATGAGGGTGGGAATGCATGTTTGTGTCTGTGCCTGTTTGTCCGTGTCTATATATGTCAGGTCGGGTCTTACACTCCACCTCTCTGGGAACTCCCAGGCCCTCCAAAGGCCTATATCCCCTGTGAGTGACAGTTGTAGTGTGTAAGAACACTCAGGTCTCTCTTGAAAAATACAAATTATTAGTATGACAGAAAGGCCAGAAGCATTATTAATAAAAACAAAAATGTTAACCATCTTCCAATAATCATTTTATTTGTATAGTCATAAAAAATGTACAAAATCTACAGTGCAAATAAAACACATGAGTATAGGCCAGTTTACTTCTCAACCACAGGGAGGCACTTTAACACCTTCTCATCAACAGGCCAGAGGAATTTATGCAAACACAAGGAAATCTTACTGTGTCGTACCATTCGTAAACACTATGAAGAGCTCCAGTTCATTTAGCAGATGCAAATCTGACAGGCAAGCGTTTGAAAATATTACTGTTCTGCTGTGATTGCCATGTGCTTGCTTGTAGCTTCCTTCAGGAGCAGGAATAAGCTTGCAGGAACACTAACCAATACATATTTTAAGAGTAGTTAATAAAGCTCAGAGTCTGAGATAAAACACACAGTGAGAATACAGGTGTCTGTTTTTCAGTTTGCTGTTTGTACAACAGGTTTAGCTACATTCTTAATAATATGTAAACATTCATTTTCACATGAGCATCAGCTGAGCGTTTGTACCTAAAGTGGCCGTAACAGCTTAAAATATGTAGTAGTGTCAGCTTTTGTGTCAGAATACATGGTGACAGTGAATGCGGCAGTTATATGAAACATCAGTGCAGCACTTTCTGTCCAGAAGCACAAACTTGTTTTTTCTTCTGAAAATCAGCGAATGAAAGAAAGGAAAAATACATAGAAAACTATTATCTCTTATCCCACAAAGGTTGCTTTTTAAAGCAACCTCAAAAGTTTATATATAAAACACCCAGCACGCCCCTGCGGGCGGTTTATCCTTCAAGCTCGGGTCCTCTACCAGAGGCCTGGGAGCTTGAGGGTCCTGCGCAGTATCTTAGCTGTTCCCAGGACTGCGCTCTTCTGGACAGAGATTTCCGATGTTGTTCCCGGGATCTGCTGGAGCCACTCGCCTAGCTTGGGAGTCACCGCACCTAGTGCTCCGATTACCACGGGGACCACCGTTACCTTCACCCTCCACATCCTCTCGAGCTCTTCTCTGAGCCCTTGGTATTTCTCCAGCTTCTCGTGTTCCTTCTTCCTGATATTGCTGTCATTCGGAACCGCTACATCGATCACTACGGCCGCCTTCTTCTGTTTGTCTACCACCACTATGTCCGGTTGGTTAGCCACCACCATTTTGTCCGTCTGTATCTGGAAGTCCCACAGGATCTTAGCTCGGTCATTCTCCACCACCCTTGGGGGCATCTCCCATTTTGACCTCGGGACTTCCAGGTTGTACTCAGCACAGATGTTCCTGTACACTATGCCGGCCACTTGGTTATGGCGTTCCATGTATGCCTTGCCTGCTAGCATCTTGCACCCTGCTGTTATGTGCTGGATTGTCTCTGGGGCATCTTTACACAGCCTGCACCTGGGGTCTTGCCTGGTGTGATAGACCCCAGCCTCTATGGATCTTGTGCTCAGAGCTTGTTCTTGTGCTGCCATGATTAGTGCCTCTGTGCTGTCTTTCAGTCCAGCTTTGTCCAGCCACTGGTAGGATTTCTGGATATCAGCCACCTCCTCTATCTGCCGGTGGTACATACCGTGCAGGGGCCTGTCCTTCCATGATGGTTCCTCGTCTCCATCCTCTTTCTTGGGTTTCTGCTGCCTGAGGTATTCACTGAGCACTCGGTCAGTTGGGGCCATCTTCCCAATGTATATATATATATATATATATATATATATATATATATATATATATATATATATATATATATATATATATATATACACACACACACACACAGAGTTGTGTAAAAATGAATGAATGAATGAAAAGCCTGAAATAAACTGGTAGGTTTTATGGTAGAACATCAAAAGTGCAGGTGCACTTGAGGTCTCTGAAGGAGGAGCAGTCAAAGTCAGCCATGAGAGTTTTCTTTCCGGTCTTCTTGGGAAAAAAGAGCAACTGGATACGTATCCTGTTGCTTGGCCTCAGATTTGGAAGTCTGTGGGAAACATAAGAGTAATACAGAACTGTTAAGGTTGATGTTTAGTTTGTGGATTTGACATAACATTTTATACACAGTAACAACTCGCTAGAAGCCTGTTGAAAAGACAACTTTGCCAGACATCCAAATAATGTTGAGATATGGTAAAATCTGAAAACTTCAGACTGCGGAAAAGACTTTTACAAAGAGATGACCCTCTTATCATTATTCCTTCAAGGGATTTTGCTGGGGCTACGTTCTTTAGAAAGTCCTGAGGCCTGTACTATGAAGCAGGATTTGGGCTTATTCAGGTAACGTCAGAGCTAACACTTGTTTTTCAGCGTTATAAAGGTGGTTTGCTTCTCACTGTTGTTTATAGTTATGTAACTTATGCTGCAGACCTAAACCGCTCCAGAGCAGGTTTTTATCAATATTAGAGAGACAAGCAACCCATTTGTACTTGTGAATTCAAATTTGGGTGGCTGTAGCTCAGGTGGTAGAGCAGGTCATCTACTGATCGGAAGGTTGGTGGTTCGATTCCCGGCTTCCCCTAGTCTGCATGCCAAATATCCTTGGGCAAGATACTAACCCGAAATTGCTCTCCGATGCATTCATCGGAGTATGAATGTGTGTGAATGTCAGTTGTGCTTGTGCGAATGGGTGAATGCACAAGTTGTGTAAAGCGCTTTGAGTGCTCAGAAGAGTGGAAAAGCGCTATATAAGAACCAGTCCATTTACCATTCTGTTTTTATATTTAATCTTCATGTTACTCTCAGACCCTTAAACACTTCCAGAGGCTGCAGGAGAAAGAATAAAAATTAAATTCTAGATTTTCCTGTCTTAATGATAGAGCATTGACCCATTCACTCACACAGTCAGTATTTTTACTGCCTTTCCCTCTTGGCTCAAAATAAATAATTAAGGTAGCAGATCTTTCACACATACATGCATGTTTCCTCCCCATCCACTAGACCACTTCCAGAGATAGTCAGAGTGCAGTCCGTCAGCATCTTGTTGATTGGGTTCATGAAAACTACTTCAGCAACTGTCCTTTGGTTCAGTCTCACTGGACCATTAACCTGAAAAACAAAAATCTCACTGTTTACTTATTAGTCAGTAAAACAATGTAAAAATCTTTGCATGTCCAGTTTTGATTCCAACCTGCTTGAAAATATAAACTACAAATTATACCTTCAGTTTATCCAGCCTCTTTTTTTACCATTAGCAATGCATGAAAAATAAACATGATAGCCCACATCATATAAAATTACAGATACAGGAGTCACATTTCAATCCTTAATGGACAAACACAAAATTTGGTATAGAGACCAAAGCTGCTGAAGATGAACTGTATAAATAGGAACTGACTCATCATCTATATAGGTCAGGCTCAGTTTGAGCTATACCAACTTATAGCTAGTTATTTTATTTATTTGTTTTGTGCTACTTTAGCAAGCTTTTATGCATCTAACGCACTTGTGAACAAAAACAACAACAAAAAAACAAAAAGAAACATGTCAGCTGAAGCATTATTTGCTCAAAGTCCTCCTTTGGCCAAGAACAGCCTGAATAGATGCTGGCATAGTTGCAGACTTTAGTTTTATATATATATATATATATATATATATATACACATGCATACATATAGACACATATACATACATATATATACACACATATATATATATATATATATTAGAAATTATATTCTATATTTATTTAAAGGCATATAACATAGTTAAGTATAATTATATTATAAGAGTATTTAGAGGAGTATGTATATATTAAGTATAATATATTATTTTATCAACAATCAACAGCAGTCAGCTAATGTGACAGTTACTTCGAACAAAGCAACATAATGATTAAGGAGACACAGAGATGGTAGTTTTTTACTCACTGTGATGGACATAGGAGGATTCAACAGAATGACATCATTCACTGCTAGGTATACATTTCCTGGCTCCAGCTTATCTGTGACTACAGCTGAAATCTTCATGCTGTCAGAGCCTACCATGTGTTTGTGGTACACCAAGAAGGGGACCAAGATAGGAATGGACAGATCTGGAGCAGACAGAGGGAGTGAGAGACAATTATAGTTGTTGCAGTCCCCCCACCAGGACAAATAAATAAAAACACTTGTGAGAAACTCCTCAGCAATTTACCCACCTTTCCCAGGCTGCAGTGTCTCTTCATTTGTCTCAGTCTGGATGTTTTCAAACGGTGAGCCATTGTATCTCATGGCCTGGACGCTGATATTGATGGACACAGGCCTGGCAGTGCGGCTCACACTGTTCAGCACCAGCTTCAGACTCACGTCCTGACCGTCCATTGGCTTGGATACCTGCAGCACCACAAATTCAATTCAATTTTATTTATACAGCGCCAAATCACAACAACAGTTGCCTCAATGCCTAAAGTACTGTTGGGATTTACGCAGGCGGCACAGTGAGGAGAAACTCAGATTTTTGACACTGACCCTGTTCGTATGTATTTCTGGGAGTTCTTATTTTTTTGTTAATAGAAAAAATGTTAACAGTGGAAAAAAGGTCACTGCTACATTCGTAAAAAGTAGACAGAAATTCACACAACAAAGATAAAGGTAAATACTAAAATATATTTAAGATCTACTTGAATAGCTCTAAAAATAAAAACATATATAAGGAACTGAGATGTACCTCTTCAATTCGCATGGATATTTGTGGAAGTGGAAGGATGCTGTCATTTGTATTATTTGTAGTCTCTGTGTTGTTCCCTCCCCTCCCTCCATTCCCAGTTCCATTTGTTGTTCCTCCATTCCCAGTTCCACTTGTTGTTCCTCCATTCTGGATTGGATTATTTGTCCCTCTATTGTTCTTTTCCTCTTCATCTCTGGAGTAATCTCTGGTGAGGGCATATCTAAATACAGTTCTCTCCTCATTAGACCCTGTAAGAGTGGAAAGTTTTAGAGTGAGAGTGAAAATTAATTTTGTTAAAGAATTTCTACTATGTCTTGACCAAAAGGTTTTATTTAACCTTCTTATTAGTATCAGAAAACAGAGAACACAGTCACCAAACCCATTTTTATTTGTAATCTCTTTGCAGATCGCTAGTGAACCGTTAAAACAAGGTTTATATAGTTTTTTTTTTAACCGAATACTATCTGTCATTCAAAGAACCAAAGACAGCCTAACTTAGCACAATGGACTGTATATAAAAAGGCGGATGCAACATCCTGTTCTGTTCATGAATTTTAATTTTTGTTGCCATGATGCCAGGTCTCTCTTGGAAATTAGATTTTTAATCTCAATGAGATTTTTTACCTGGATAAATAAAGGACAATTTTTTTTTTACACTACCACTCTGTTGATCTGTGACCTTAATTAACATTTTGGTCTCACATGCTCATTTCAGGATTTATGTGACACATCAAAATGCTCATTTTATAAATAGGGGTGGTATAACAGTGGTAACTTCTGACTGACAAATCATTACCAGTGTCATGTCCCTTGTGAGATCTACTTTCATAATATCAGGATGGTAAAGAACAAAATTCTCCATTTAAGTCTTCAAGAAACACGTCTTTTAGGTGAACCCACCTTCCTTGTACTTGTAGCTGTCTGTGATGTCCAGCCTTGTGTTGGAGCCAACAGCCTTGGTGGAGATATTCTGTCCGATTCTCTTGGTGTCAGAGAAAATATTCACCATTGTGCCATCAGCTTTACACTGCCAGGACACAAAGAAAGAAACACGATAGAAACCAAAATTTGAAATAATAAATATTGCTATTATACTAAAGGCTGCTCCTCTTTTGGTGCTGCTAACTATGTTATTTGTGGATTTATATAGTACAGCTCTGTTCACTAACCAGCCAGTCAATGCAGTCAGCATTGACCATAGCATAAACAAATGGGGCATCATATTTTAGATCGGTTTCTCCATTCAGGATGGCTTTGACTGAGGCTGGACCGCAGCAGTATGCACCTGCAAAAGGACAAGCAAGAAAAGCCATCAGATGAACATTAAATAAAGAAACATGCTTTACTAATACAGAGTAGTTTTTATTCTAACTTCATGGCACTAAATATGGAACTTTCTAACCATGGAGCTGCCATCACTAACAGCACTAGATGAAAAGAAATCACACAATCGAATATCACATTCAAAAACAATACTTAAAAATTGTTGGTATATTTACTGGCAAAAAATGAATAGTTAAAGTAGGAAAAGAAAAGTCATTAGACAAAGGAAGAAAATCTGAGGAGACAAGAGTTCATACCATCGCTCTTCTCCTGTGGCGTTGGATCCAGAACTTGCCAGCCGTCATATTTACCATCTTTTCCCAGGTCAGTTCGCCTCATCCAGCACTCTAACCAGACATGATAGTTCCTGAAACATAAACATGACACAAAATTCGGATGTTGGAGTCAGTGGAAACACAACAGTGGCTTTAAAAACTCGAGAACATGGCAAAGAAGGCTGGGTGATTCACTTCAATTCAATTGAATTGTATTTATATAGCACCAAATCACAACAACAGTTGAATCAAGGAACTTTATATTGTAAGGTAAACACCCAACCCTACCCTAAGCTTGAGAAATGGCACCATAAATCACACTAAGGACATTCTTTCTATTGACAGATTAAAAGCTTCCAGACAAAGTCACCACTCCCAAAGCACACAAGACATACTTTGTAAAACCACAGTCAAGATTAAAAGCCTTTTAGACTTTTGGACACAATTTCATTTGTCCTCTTTTATGCAGTCTGACATATCAAGAACAAGATGGTGGTTGAGTACTAATAAAACAGAAAAAAACAGCAAAACCTTTTGAAAGTCAACCCTGTAGCTCTATAGCGTTTCTGGTGTTTGTTTTTCCAAAACCACTGAAAATTGGATAAATTATAGTTTGTTGTATATAGTGCCTCTCTGTTTTTTAAATTAACCTTATTTAGTTCTGTGAGAAATTAAGACTGTACAATGCTCAGGGAAACTCTCTCTCTCCCTCTGTGTGTGTGTGTGTGTGTGTGTGCGTGTGTGTGTGTGTGTACAAAGGAACTGTTCAACTCTTTACCACAGAATTTAGTTCTGATCTGTATCTCTCTCTGTTTGCTTTCTCAATATAAGCCATATGAGCTTGTGTCATCTTACCAGACACTGTCCTTGGTCTCTTTCTCTCTCACTCCATAGTCAGCATGGTACACATCAATGATCAGATTCTTGTTGCTGTCGTGAGCTGACTGGTAATTGGTGACCACACGGCATGGGATGCCCAGCAGACGCATTACTGGAAATACAAACATTAAAAAAACAGATTTTTTAAAAATGTGATATTTGTCAAATTGTACATTAGTTTAGCATCTTATTGTTAAATGTTGTTGCACTGGCCTAGTGATGGAAAGTTATAAGGAAAAGACAAATCAGTAAACCACTAAAGCTATGGCTCACCAGACTTTTAGTGTAATCCTATATTAACACTAGAAAATTGGCAATTGTAAACAAACTTGAGACTTTGGTACATATACCTTGCTAGGACCCTTTTGCCTCCACAATTGCCTTTATTCTTCATACATATATTCAACAAAATGACAGAGACATTCCTCAGAAATTCAGAACTGTTCTAATCGACGGTGGTCATATAGCAAGGGACATGGTCAGTGGCTACCCTCAGGTAGGCTGTGGCATTTAAATGATGCTCAGTTGGTAAATTGGACAAAGTCTGCAAAGAAAATATCCCAGACACCATCGCTCCACAAGTACCAGGCAGAACCGTTGATACAAATGAGGACAGATGTCATATCGCATGTGTTTCAGGTTTAATTAATATTCCTTGATTTATTGTTGCTCATGGGTCTAGTTCTCTTTATGGTTTTCTGCTTATGTTATACTTATAGTTTCTACACTTTAGGTCTCTGCATAGTTGTATTGTAGTGAGTGGTTATTTGAGTTATTTTTTCCCTGTTATTAGCTTGAAGCCATTATCCTCTGACGGCTATCAACAACAAGGCATTTTCACCCAGAGAACTGCTGCTTATTGAGTTTCTCTTTTAAGGACTTTAAACCTTAGAAATGTTTGTGAAAAAACATTCCAGTAGATCAGCAGTTTTTGAAATCCTCAGACCAGCCGACTGGTAGGATCAACCACGTAACATTTAAAGTCACTTAAATGTGAAGGTTCTCAGTCATCCAGGTGATACAACCTTTCTCCCCAATTCTGATGCAGTTTGAACTTTAGCAGGTCTTCCTTACCATGTCCATCCAGCCATCCTTTCTCCTTTGCTTATCTGATTCAGGGTCGCAGGGGGGCTGGAGCCTACCCCACCTGCCATAGAGTGAGAGGCAGGGTACACCCTGTGAAGGTTGCCAGTCTATCGCAGAGCACCTTCGCCATGTCTATAGGCCATTAAGTTTTTGAGTTGTTGCCCTGTGATTGGCTGATTAAATATTTGGATGAATAAAAAGGTATACCCAGCAAAGTTGATAATGTATGTAAACTAAAGCACCTGCAATATAAGGCAGCTTATTTCTTATTTCTCATTTCACTTGCCTAAACACATACTGTATATATAACAGATATTTAGGTATGTATTCATATTACCCACCTAAATAGATACTGTATGTAAGTGAGGACTTGCAGAGTTAGCCAGTACCTGAACACATCACTCCTGCAAATACCCAGCACTGTCCATATTTGACTGGGTGGCAGCCGATGTTATACCAACGCTTGAGGATGGGATAGCTGCCAGACCAGTGAGAGGGTATAGTTCCACCCCAGAATGGAGCTGACCACCGTCCCTCCAGGACACCACAGTCATCCATACTGTTGATCTGGAGCAAAACAGGAAAACAAAGGTGAGTGAGTGAGTGAGCTTTGGCTCCCCTCAAAATTACTATAAAGCATTAATTAACAAAAGGTTTTGTTAATTAATGCTTTATAGTAATGCTTTATAATTAATGTGTTATTTTGTTTATGATGCCTTTTAAACGTTATGTAAAATGCTTTAAATTACCTTCTTGGTGAAACTTGCAGTGCAAATACAGTACATCTGTCCAAAACACATGTATATACATAAATATCCTACCATGGCGCTGACCACACGGCTGACGTAGATGGGGTTACAGCGAGCAGAAACGTCATTAGCTGCATTTGCCAGGTGTTTGGGGTTGACATCCAACATCTTAAGACAAATCTTCATCATGTCCTCTTCAAACTAGACAGGAAGAGAGCAGCTTATCTTAAACTACAGTGCTGTAGGTTATTCGTACTTAATGGCAGAGTCAAAAATAATCGAAGCATTTACATTAACTAATTAATTCTAAAGTAAAATATTAACTTGAAGCAGCTAATATCTAAAAATGTCACTACTCTATACTTCATAATAGCATGTTAATAATGATCTACAGTAGTCTCACACCATATAAATATATGTCTCTCCGATTAAGGAGTTACACCTACAAGCCATTAACAGTGACCATCTTTTTTGCGCCTCTACCATACTGAACAATAGAACTCTTAGAATAAAAGACTGATTGGTAAAAACATGATTAATGTGGTACTTTTCGGTTTTGATTTATCAAACCTAGAATCACAAATCCACTAAGCCTACACAGTGTGTGTGTGTTTGTACCTGCCCAAAGTCCCAGTTAATAGATGTGATGTAGTTCCCACTTCCTTTGTAGATTATACCACGTTCATTCATCACAAACTCCTGTCTCTCTTTCTCATCCTGCATAAACACTGAATCATCTACAGAGGCGGGAATAGGGATAACCACATGAGACAGACGGATTAATGGATGGATAATAGTGGTTTTAAGGAAAACAACAGCAACAGATGAACAGTGCTGGAGAGCCTGGAAAACAGGTCGGCAGATAGAAAGATAACTTACCAGAACACCAGGGATTGAAGAGCACAACCAGTTCTGCCAACAACGTTTCCTCATCCCTATGTCTGGCGGTTAAGTTGTACTTTCCGATTGGAGTGTCAGCTGGGGGGGTAATGGTCAAATTCAAGGAGCCTGTTGGTGGGTTGGATCCCTTCTCTAGCTCCACTTTCCACACTGCCTTTGCTGATGGCGAACGCTGGATTCTGTCTGGCATACCAAAGCATGACTTTGTTCCCAGGTCCTCAGATGGATTTTCTCCTGCAGAGAGGATTCACAGAGATCATAGATGTGACAATACAGTACCAACAATACAATACTCTGTAACTACAGAGTGTACATGAAAGACAGACATCATTAACCAGTGTGAGTTACACCTGAATCATTTCCAGTAGTCAACACAGGGCAAATGACAAAATTTTACTGCATGAAAATGTTCCCAAACACACTGTCAATGCAGAAAAAGTATATCTTCATAGAAAAACACATAATAGAACAAAATTAATAGACTGTCCCATTTTGATGGAGAATAGAATAAATGACAGCCAACCTTTAAAAAACAATCATTGAAAGCTACTTAAAACTACAAGAAGGCTTGCCTAATAGAGTTCAGGCTGCATCGAGGAACAGAGGTGGCCATACCGAATACTGATTTTTCAAACTCAGAATTGTAAAAATTTTCATTTCATTGCTGTATTTCCCAGGAGTAGCTCAAGACTTTTTCACAGTACCCAATGCTCATTTTGAATTTGATTGCAACAGAAGGCTGAAAGATCGTTTAAAAGACAAACAGTGGTCATATCCAACTGTGCTAACTGGCAAAACACCTTTAAGTAAAGCTTAGTTTATTTATAAAAAGAGCCTTTCACTTATGTGTCATGTCTGGCTTTTTCCTCACCCTTTCAATTTTTGCCACACCCTCATGGGTTTCACCTGATATTATTTCTCCTGATTGCCCAATTAGTTGTTTTTTTTTAAATTCCATCAGCTCATTAGTAAAACCTGCTTTTTGTTGGGAATACCTGATTCTGGTTCCTGTGTTTGGGTCCTCTTTTTAAACTACACTTAACCACATGTAGCTGTTATTTATTATTTAAATTTATATTTTGTATTGATTTTCACAAAATTCTTCATATGTATCCATACAGATCTTTCAAAAATGTTAATGTCAATAATAAAAATAACAGCAACAAAAAAAACAGAGAAAACAAAAGTAAGCAAACATGAACAAACTCCTGTTGATACATGGAAATCAATATTCAAACATCTCTTTTATTTACTATAAAGTGTCACAACTGCAAACTAAATATTTAAATTTAAAAAATATAAATTCAAATTATATAAACCAAACATGCACAGTTTGCAGCTATCAATTCCTCAGACTGACTTTCTCCTGGATCAAAACCTTTCCAAAGCTCAAAAAGGGTGCCTTCAATGGGCTTGGAGGTTTTTGCTTTGAGTCCCAACTAGGGCTGTCAGCGTTAATCGCGTTAAAATGACGTTAACGCCAAATCCACATTAACACAGCATATCCCCATTAACGAGTTAACGTGGATCACCCTCTGTGTGGGGCTGCCAGTGTTGGGAAGGTTACTATTAAAATGTATTCCACTACAGATTACAGAATACATGCCCCAAAATGTATTTTGTAACGTATTCCTTTACATTACTCAATGAGAGTAACGTATTCTAAATACTTTGGATTTCTTAATATATTATCATGCTTTTTACAACTACATGAATGTACTATTGCTGTGTGATTTATTACTATTACTGAAGGTTACTCGCCATACCAATAGCAACTAGATTTTTAAATCTTAATATAAAATGAGTAACAGTAGGGTGGACATTAGGTAAGGCTGCGCTTTTTGCAACGATCTCGTATAGAAAACTGTTTTTCGTGTATATAAAACAGGTCCTCTGGCTAATACGTCAGGTTCCGTGTTGAGTTCATAGCCGAAAACTAGCTTTACTTTGTTGTCTGGGTCGACTTTGCTAGCGAGAGACAGAGAGAGGCGTTGAAAGGCTGCTCCAACGGAACTTGTTGTTTCGGAGGAAAACACGAACACAGAGTAGAGTAGAGTCTTAATAACTTACTTACAACTGGCCAATACTGCCCATGAAGCCAATACTGCCATTGTTTAGGCCTATGCCTGTAACACTGTGCCTATTGCCTTTATATTAAATAATTTTTGAACAATAATTAAAAAAAATATTTCGTCACATCATTATAGCAAGTAGAGGTGACATGGGCCGCGAGATTGAGACACAGACATTAGAGCCTTTTAATGTGTGTTTTGTTTGGATTTCCACTGGCGTGGAATTACCAAGAACAGAGAGAGCATAGCCGAACATATGAAACAGGAAAAGACCGCCGTGTAATCCATTTATTTCAACAGAGTAACACTACCTTTTTAAACGGTAACTGTAACAGAATACAGTTACTCATATTTTGTATTTTAAATACGCAACGCTTGTACATGTATTCCGTTACTCGCCAACACTGCGCTAATACGTTAATCAAGCTACCCGCGCTAACCCGTTGATGCAGTCCAGCCCAACACAAAGGGTGATCCGCATTAACCCGTTAACGGAGATATGCCGAGTTAACGTGGTGTTGCCGTTAATTGACGGTGATTAACGGTGACAGCCCTAGTCAACAGCTTTGGGTCAGTAAATGTTTGTTCAGCGCCCATCAAACAGCATCTTCTGTACACTTTGGACATATTTTTTATTATAAGGATTTAACTTGGGAGGGTTTACATACAATATGTTTGCATTTTTTACAAAAAAACAAACAAAAAAACATTATTTAATGGTGGACCAACCTGTTACTGCTGTAAAGGTGAGCGGGTAAAGATTGGGGTTGAACGGCTGTGTCAGTTCAACTTTCACGGTGAACCGCTGGCCTCGCCTCACAATCAGCTGATCCTTTGAGATTTTTTTGGTGCCATGTTCTGTGTTGTTTGTCTCACAGTTGAGATTCACTCCTTTAAAAACTGCAAGAAATGTAAAATAAAATATAGAAATGTTAACTGTGAACAAAAATATCTGAAAGTCAGGTCACAAAGTGAAGTCTTTATTTTAATAAACTTATTTTTAATGGCATGACACTTTAAAAAACAAACAAACAAAAAAGAAAAGAAAAAGGCCAATATCTGTCATCTCCTGATACATTTTAACTTGGTTTCCTGGAAAGATTTGCAACTGAAGGATGCAAAAGGCTTTAAGCTTGCTACACCGATACCTTCTCTATGCTAAAATAGATGAAGATTTTAGTGACCTCGATTCACCTCAAAAAACTGCCTCAGCTTGTCAAAAGTCTCAATTCTATCTAGCAATTTGGTGACAGGAACCCAGGGCAAGGCAGGGTGGAGATAAAACTATTTAAACACTGTCATGAGAGTCATCCAAACGTCACAAAGTTGAAGTTACATGTCAGGAAAAATATGCATGGATTGGGCATGCCTCAACAGGGCAGAATCAGTGATGAACACAATGCTCGTGTCTCGACCAAACCCCAACAGCATGGTAATAAAAACAAAACAAAACACAAACCTCACATTTAAGTCCTACGGGTATGTTCAGGAGAACAGGTGAATCCATAGAAAAGCACTGCACTGACAAGTAACATGGAAAACTGAGACACAATTCATAAAAACACTTAAGCACAAAATAGTGAGGTTTGGAGAGACTATCTTAACACTTTGTCTTTTTCTATATTGATATGAGAAGTACTTTTCACAGTCAAACTTTTAATTTTAATGTTAGGAAACAAGATTGAACAGGTTCTCAGTGTGTTTGAAATGAAAAGTGAATTTATAACTTTTTGTTAGGAGAGATGAAGTTTTTTAGATTCCGTGGTGGGTGAGTTTGGTTTGGGTGTGTGTGAGGGAGGGAAAAATGCACACACCTGCTTTCATATTGTAGTTAACTGTCTACATTTTGTCACTATTACTCACATTTTTAACAAGGGTGTACAGTAAGAAAAAACCCCCAAAACTATAAACTTTCTTTAGATTTATTAAACTTATAAATCTACAGCATGTAGAGTTCTCCCCTTGGGTAGATAAATTTATACATACATGAAGGTTGGCCTGAAATACACACTGAAACACCTGAGAGAGGGAATGCATTTAAGGGACCTCTCCTTAATATCTATAGAAAGTTTTGGCTGTCTGTGACATTAAAGTCAGTCTGTGAACGCTTTCTAAATATTTTCACATACATTTTTTTTTGCAGTGCCTACAAGTTTGCATAAGTTCATATTTATATTTCTAACACAGTCTCGTTGATATCTTAAAATTTTAGATCTTTAATTCAGTTTCCAGAGCTGCTAAATGTTACTTTGTTCCTTCTAGAATCTCAGTTGCCTTAAATCTGTCTGCACTGCACAATTGAAACCCACAAAGACGATGTGTTTATCTTTTGATAGTTCTAAAACAATCTGATGGAGGGTGTCACATATTGGAGGTGGTCCTGGATGGGAGGCAAAACATCACGCGCACTAATATTTTGATATTTATGATTATTTATAGATGCCTTCCGAATAAAACAAACAAACATAACCACAACAATCTAATATATGATTCAAAAACAACTGCTCTTACGTCGATGTAATGGGCACTTGGGTACGAAACTCAAACTGATTATGGGGGCATCGATCAAATTTAGAAGGTGTTCCAGATTTCCTGAACTAAATTTTCTGCCAAACTGGCCTGAATCTGAAACTTTGGATTAACTTCAACTTGCAAAACATATATTTGAATTTCCAGGCTGACACATGATGACCACAGGCATGTTGTCGTGTATGTAAAGAGAATAAACTGCAAAAATCCTGTTTAATGTGTCAATGTGAGCTTTTCACACAACATTCTCTGGCATGTACTTTCTGAAGACTGTTGTTGTAAGGCATTCATTTCTATTTGCCAGCACCTGCAAGTAAGATTTCTAGAAACTGGGAGAACTGAGGTCATGCAAACTAAGTGTATAACACGATTTTATTTTAACTCTATAAAAACTTTGAAATAGGTGCAAACTTTTCTAAAACTCTTGTCAAATGCAATCCTGCTTTTGACAAGACTATTTAACTGTTATTATTTAAATTAAACAATTTAATTTAAATCAGAATACATTAAGCCCTTAAAGATATGATGATAAACTTCAGTTAATATATGTCTAAAAGTTAATGTACTTACTTGACTGTTTGGTCTCCGATGTCATCTTTCTAGACTTTCCACAGCAGTTCAGGTACAATGAGAAGCTCTCTGGCTGGGACTCAGCACCACACTGACAGGTGGTTGAGCCCTGATTTATTTTAAACCAGCTGTCACACCCAGCCCCAGGTCACCCAGTTTACATTACACAAACTAGATGAAACATTTCCTCCCTGTTCAAAAAGCCACCCACACAAACACACACATAGGATAATATGATGCTGCAGTGCATTACATTCTGTTTCCTTTGAATTATTAGCGCGTTTCTGAATATCCTAAGTGTATTTTATAGTGCTATCTAATTTGTGTAAATAATAAGTCTGGATAAGGCAACATGCTGATCCAGGTTTTTTTTCGCTAGTTCCATCTCTAATTAAATACAACAGATTGTTCATTTTCTAAATGATGATTCTAATTAGAGTCTAAAAGGAGTATGAATTTTAGTGATATGCAACTGAGAGATTGGTTATTAAGCCTAGTTTCAGAAAGCTAAGATAACTGTGTTTTTCTGGACAAGGCTTCAAAATTGGGACTTCATAAAATCAGGTGACATGACAGTGGCATTAATTTGACTAATGGCTGTTCTTTTTTTTATTTTAATTTTTTTAAATTTATTTTATTTTCACTTACTGAATATGGGACAGACTTGACTGGGGGAAAGAACGGGAGAAAGAAAGAGGGAAAGAGAAACAGCTGAGAAGAGGGACGGGGGAGAAGGGCAAAAACCAAAAACCAACAGAATGAGCAGAAATAGAAAAAAAAAAAGAAAAAAAGAAAAAAAAAGCATATATCAATCACCTGGATCACCTGCTGAGAAAGAAAAAAGAAAACAAGCAGAAGAGAACAAGAGTAATAGAATAAACAACATCACAATGATGTATGGGAATATGACAGTAAATAATAAATATTAAACATTATTGTGCAGCACATAAGATCAACAGAACACAGTGTGCTTTGAGGTAGGAGCCAAAAAGGGTGTAGTTTGTGGGTGTGATCACACGTGTGTACACCTGTGAGCATGGACGCGCTTGTTTTTTGTTTTTTAAAAGGTTCCTTCATGTAATGATCTGCTAGAGGGTGTGGGGGGGCCACAGCCCCGTCCTCCAGGGCATGAAGCAGGTATGGAGGAGATCAAAACTCCAGACATCCAGAGGCCCCCAGAACACAAGAGACCAAGGAAGACCAACAGAGGGGCAGCCGCGCCACTGTCCCAGAAAGAGCTGAGGAGAGTCCCAGATGAGGGCTCACTCAGCAGCCGTGGAGCAGAAGCCAGGGGGAGTTGCAGTGACGCGCCCGTGAGCTCCGCCGGCAGCCAGCCGTGCCTGAGTGACCGAGCCTAATGGCTGTTCTACAGTAATTATACTATTTTGTGCGCACACCTCCTCCATGAAACTTAAGCCGATGACGAACTAAATAAATGAAAACCTTGAACACCCTGGGAATGCTTTTCAGGTCAGGTCTTGGCATGCAGTTTACTTTCATGGTTGAATGCAGTTGTGCATGAGAAAGACGTAACTGAAACATGTAACACTGATTATGCAATAAAATTGCTTAATATTGTATGATGTCAGACTATTTAGTAATTTCTTTGGTTTATGTTTTGTCTCTTGAATCATCAAAAAGGTGTCTGTGCTGAAACTGCGTATGGATTGAAAGTTGGGGTGGGTTCACTTTCCACTGCTTAGAGAGTTAGTCCAACCCTGAAAGAGCTCAGTGTACTGATTTTCATTTGGCATTCAGTAAGAATCCATTCTGGACTGTGAACCATACTTATTTTCCTGGGAATAAGAGATGGAAAAGTACATTTATGTTTCACTGAAGCGTAGTTTTCACTAATAACTGAAAAGATCTCTGGCTTTATCCCTCGAGTTCTGGAAGAGCATCCAGTGTAAAATACAATCAAATGCAAAGCTATCCACTGTGGCAAAGTCTTGTGACTAAGGGAGCATAAATATGCTTCAATTCCAGTAAGAATTGGTGTATCTGCTCTAGACCATGTTGATGTTTTTATTCACATCCTGTTCCAAGTTTTAGTCCCCATTATTGTGGCAATGATTTAGGACTCACACAGAAAAACAAAAGAAATAAATGCCAATAACATTTTATTCATTATACAGGTTTTGCAATCTATGCTTTTCCACATCTTACATGTCAGGTTAGATCTGCCACTACCAGTGATGGGAATTACAGCGTTACAAGAAACGGCGTTACTTTTTTTCAGTAACGAGTAATCTAACTAATTATTATTCCTATCGTTACAACGGTATCGTTACAATGCCGTTACCAAGAAAATGCGGTCGTGTTACTATTTTTCAAGAAACAGACGGTTGAAGCTGTGTTCAGTTTACGCACCTTATATCAGTTGCACGGAAGTAACTGACTACGTAAGTAATCTGGGCGCTACAACTTTAAGCTGTGCGCGCTCCCGCGGATGGAAATCACTTTCTGCCAGACAATCACTTTCTAGCACAACACCCAGAGCTAAGGGGGCAAAACAATCGCTTGAGTGCTGCTGTTTGGCTGAGGAACAATAAAGTAGTCGTGGTAAGCCAATCACTTCAAGATGACAAAGCAACAAGGTGATATATACCAGTTTTTAAATTGTGTTGATAGGCCACGTAAAACCAGAGTCATGATAAACAATATATACCCGTGTTTTCCTCAATAGTTTCATCACGTTTACTGTCTAAGGACAGCGCTAGCAAGCACTCTCTGCTTATGACCAAACCCCCCTCCCCAGCCCTTTCGTGTTGGTGGAAAAATGCACCATGTTGACCAATCAAAAAATAATATGGCAACATGACATTTGGTTGTTTAGGAAGAGGGGGAAGTTTTAGGAGTGACGGCAAGAGAGAGAGTGAGAGAGAGCAGAAAGAGAGAGAGAGCGAGTTTTGAGATGTGAGAGATTTGTGAGGTTTAGCATGTTTGGAGTGTGTAGTTAATGTGTTGTCTTGTGTAGTTAGTGTGTAGTGTTGTGGATAGTTTTGTGTTGTGTGTCAAAACAATGAGGCGACTGCTGTCTGCAGGTGTCAGGCTGTGATGTTCTCCTTTATAGTGGACAGAAATTATTTTTTGGAGTGGCACAAATAATTTTTGTGGCATCTTATTGAATGCAGAACAGCTGATTGTTCTGTAAATAGTTTGAAATGATTATTTTAAAAAGGGTAAAAGGTAAATGGCTGCAAATAACTTTGTTTGCAAAACCTGTGCATATGATTTTAAAATTGGCAATTTATATTTGCATTTAAAGTTATGAAATATAATTCATTAAACATGTTTGTGGTTGTTACAGCATAAAATATAACTTTTTCTACTCAAATTTTATGCTTTTTGTCTAATTTTAGATCAATTGTGTTAATACAGTATGTCAAAATGAAAACATAACTATAAATTCAGACACGTGAGATTGTGCTGAAAAGGATGATACCAAACAAGGCAAAGTAAATAGTTTTTAACAGTGAAATGTGGAGGGAAAATCAAAAGTAGTGAAAAATGGCCTATTATACCCTGGACCCCAGAGGGTTAAAAAAAAAGTTTTTTAAGTAACGCAATAGTTACTTTTCAAGTAATTAATTACTTTTAGAGTCTTGTAACTCAATTACTAACTCAGTTACTTCTTTGAAGAAGTAACTAGTAACTATAATTAATTACTTTTTCAAAGTAACTTGCCCAACACTGGCCACTACACAGGAGACAGTGAGACAGCTTACATAGTCTTTAAATGTTCTACCTGAACTGTTCTTTGTTTTTGACATGAAATGAAAGTGTTTCCTTCGGTTTTCTTGATGTTGACCTTCTCATTGTATCTGTGTCAAATTTTAATGCACTTATCTGAAATACTAACACAACCATTTCTGAGGCAGACTCTGTATATGTATTTGAATCAGGCTGTCATACTGTGCTTCTTATCTGTACTGATTAAATGAGATCTATGACATGTTTTTGTACGCAGCTTACATTGTGTTTTTCTCACACAAAATAATCCATGTAAGGACTCATAATTCTTAATTATTTTTCTATGGGCACACATTGTGTTTCAAAATTAATCTGAAACTGTTTGTTGTCCAGTTCCAGCCTGAGAACATTTTTCTTTTATATCACACATAGAAAGAAACCACATTGCCCAACACTGACATGAATAAGGCATGTTCATGTTTAATGCAACGTGGAAAGATAAGATCAGGTTTTGAGATACTCCACCCACCTGTTTCTCAACATTCTCCAACACACCCAAGGGAAGCTTCGTTCCTCTTCTTCACAAATGATTCCAGTGAAATCTGTTTGGCACTTCCATTTTTCTTTTGTTCGTAAACCTCCAATTTTTCACTGGTTTTACATGGTCAACGTAAAATTTCCAAGTACAGATTATTTTGACTTTCATGTCCATGAACTTTTTATGTAGTTTTACAACTTTCATTTTTTAAGGAGACTTATAATGCCAGCATACTCACTGTCACTGTCAGAAGAAAGTTTAATTAAGCATTAGAAATTAACTAAATTGGCTGTTTTAAACCGAGGACAAACTAGGGAATTGCACCAAGGTCCACAATATGATAAATAAGGATTATTTTAAACTGTTCAGCTATGCTAGCAGAGCACAAGAATTCAAAAAATGAATTTGAAATTAGCATAACAAGTCCCTTTGAAAGTGTAATTTCAATACATTTCATTTGTTGTTTAGTAAAAATCAAACCTGACTTGTGCTTTATACTTGGGGAGTTTTATTATTATTATTCATAAGTATATTTTGGAAATCTTAAGTTAAGAACATTCCTTTCTTACTGCAAAGAAATGCAAAAGTCACATTCAAATTACATTTTTTTTGTTTTGTTTTGAGCGTAACTCTGTCAGATTGGGCAATTGTAAAGTCATAAAAACATGCCATTTCATGACTGAGAGATAAGACAGACTATATGCAGCTTCTTTATCAAACTTTGTTTCACAAAGTACATCAGGAGGAAGGGCAAGCTAGCAATTACAGGAAAGGAAATAAATGGACAACAACAAGAGAGGCAGTGTGAATGGCATAAGTTTTAGAGTTTCTGTCACGGT